TATTTCAGATCTAACTGGTAAATGTTTTTAAATCTATTACTATACTGTTATACATTAAACCTATAATAAAAAATTACGTTCTCCAAAATAAACTTTAATTAAGCGATTTATTCGTATGTATTTCAGAAACCAAAGAGTATTGCGGTCTGGTAATGATATTTTACTTAATATTATGTATTATAATTAAAATTAAGTTTTTAAAAATTCCGACAGTATTAATTCGAAAAGATAACACTGATAGTAAAATCTGTAATATTTCTGTTACTTAATAATGTATAATACATACATAAATTACAATAAAGATAAAAAACATATGTACTTACAATAAAATTTACATGACAGTTTTAAAATAAATTATTATTATTTTTCAGAACATCAACTTTGCGTCTATACAGGTATGATTTATTTAATATTCTGTAAATAAAATATTTCGTTAAAAATGGTACTAAAAGTTGTGTAAAATGTATTTATTTTTGTAGGACTGCAAAGGATAATCGTATTATGAGTAAGTTGATATAAATAACAAACATAAGTAAAGGTAAATGGAATTATTATTCAAATTAAATTAATATTTAGTATGTTGTTTAATCTTGTACCTCAAATATATTCAGATAAAGTCTTTTTTTACAGGTTCAATACGCATATGCATTTATCTACGTAAAAATTAAATAAATCATAAACATGCAACTTTGTTTTATTGTCTCCCTTATATTGATAAGTTTGAAATGTCCCTAGACCACATTATGAATAAATACATTGTAAAAAACAAACAGCAGCTGTATGGGTAAATATGGTATAAGGGAAAACGCAATATAAGATCCTGGATTATAAATTCTTGGTAATGAACGCCACCCGTCGATAGATGAAACTTTAATAAAATGTAGGATGTCGCATACAATTTTTTCCATATTCTCCAAAGCTGTATGTGTGCTTATTTAATCTTCTCTCTCTCGCATGTCTACAAGTCAATTAAATAATAATAAGTCAACTCCTAAATTCTTTCTCTGGAGTAAATGTAGCTATTAGCTTACAATAAAGTACACATTGCTTTATTTTGGATCTTGTTTTATATGTATTTGCATATTTTATTAAAATTTATCAAATTTTCAAGGGCGCACATCTTTATCCACACAACAGTCGCTACCAAATTACAAAAATATGGCATCAGCATACAATTTAATAAAGGCATTATAACCAATTTTTAACGACCGGTTAATTGTAGAGTTTCATATTTTTAATTGATCAATTTATTAACTTTTTTATAAAAATATTGATAAATAAACATCTGCTTTTAAAAAATCTTGCAATTAGTTCTTAATTTAAATGTTCAAAACATTAAAATTCCATAAAGCTAAAAGCCAAATTTTCAGTTAGTCAAAGGCAGCGAACTAAAAACGTGGTTCAGATAATTTCAACATTGTAATAAAAATATTAACGTCACGATTGTACCATTTCATACAGTAATTAAATTATATTACTAAATAATCGTATATTCACACATTTTAAAATTTATTTACTGAATCATGTAACGACTTTCAAATCTAAATAATCTGTCAGTCAGAAGTACAAAATGCTTCAAAAAATTAACACGCGGTATCTTTTACTGCTTATTGCATCTATTATTTGTCTTCTAGACTTTATATCTTGTGGTATGTCTTTTTTAATCTTTAATCCATGAGATTATTAAAATAAAATTGTCGAAAACAAATTAATCTAAATGTTTATGAATTCAATTTTACAGCTCCTACATTTGGATGTAAGTGAGAACGTACAGTTTTCTAATTTAATAATAATATATATGCTAATATTATAAAGAAGAAATATTTGTATTTTTGTATGTATTTGATTCACGCAAAAACTACTGGGCCGATTTTAAAAATTATTTCACCATCAGAAAGGTAATTTATCTGTGAGTAACATAGGCTATATTTTATTATTACTGATGTTGAGGTACTATTAATAAACAACATATTTCTCGACCACGGCGTTAAGAAATCACAACGTTTAACTTTTATCGGCTTACGCTGCCTAAACCGTTAGAGGTATATAAAAATGATGTTCGAAAAAAATGTAGATCTCAAAAAGTTGTACAGAATTTTTAATAAAATGAAAATATAAACGCTCTTCAAATCCTCACAATATTTGGAATTAAGTAATACTACGAATCTTTCATCGGCAAATGAATAATGTTATCATTTTAATTTAGTTCCAGATTTGGACAGTAAGTATTTCAAATACAATTATTGTATTATTACAATTCCTTAGACATAAAATGTATGTATTCGTAAACATCCAAAAAGAACTCGGCATGTTTTCACCTTCGAGGATTTTTTAATTCTCCGTTCGCTTACCAAGTAATTATTTAGTCGGAAAACGTTTATACTTAACAGTGGTAGTGCCCGCTTTAACATCTTAGCACGAATGGGCCGGCACGCCCGGTGAAATACCACGACCACACAGAAAACAGGCGTGAAATGGAAGCAATTCCGTGTTTCGTCTGATGAGTGTGGTGCCGGAGGCCTAATTTAAGTCCCTTTCTCTTTACCACACTTTTCTTATAAGGAGAGGTTGGGAAGAGGAAGTGGATTTGACGGTGGAGGAGATGCATAGGAAGGGGAAATAACCGCTTTATGTGCGTCTCCTCCTCCGTCGTATAAGGGTAGGCAACGCATCTACAATTGCGGATGTCTATGGGCAACGGTCGCTTCGCCATTTTGGCGGTTATAGGTG